CGTCCGACCACCTTCTATTTTTATTTTATAATTTAAATTATTTTTATATTAAATAATAAAAAAATGCCACATCATATAAAAATAATAAAAAAAATAATTCAGAGTGATCAAAATATAAGTAATTCAAAAGTTCATTAAATAAATTAGAAAAGTTAAAAGTATAAGGAGTGAAATAGAAGAGAGAAAAAAGTTATGAATGATGTATTTTACCACCTTAATAAACAAATAGGTTCTGTAATCTCTTTCAAATCAAAGAAATGGTGTTTTGCCTTGATAGACAGCTTGGAATTGCAAGCTAAAAGGTAGATGCCAGAAGCCCAGAAAAAAGTTAAATGAACTTCATCTGTTCGTTGTTTGTAGTCGCAGATTCATTCATGGACATGTAAAGTTACTAAACACCAAGTCAAATTCCATGATAGTTGACTTAGCCAATACGTAGCCAGCTGAACCCTTGCACATATATATATGTATAAACCTCAATCCACCATTAGTCTTGACTTTTAAGCAAAGCCTCTAAAATGACTCGTTTAATCACGGTTTTGATCATCTTTCTTTTCTGTTTTATCTTCCAAGCACCATCATTGGCTGAAGCTAGAAAGCTTATGGACTTACAACAAGCCGAAGCCATTTTATTCAACAGCAATGTTGTTTCAAGTGTTGATTATCAGCAGAGGCTTTTTGCTCTTCATCTTGCCAAAATTGATCGAATTTTACAGTCCGTCCCAAGTCCCGGAGCAGGCCACTAGACACATTTTCATGTCGTAACCAAATTCTCCTCTTGGTGGAACAAATAATGAATAACTGTGCTGAGATTCAGCAAAAGCGTTATGCAGCTTACTTTTTAGTTAGTCCTTTTCTGCTCCAGATTTCATATTGTTCCATTGATTTGGAATATTCCAGGTTCGAAACTTGTTCAAGTGATCTTTACTGTTTGATATGGAAAACATGTCTTGTTATTCTTGAAAAATGTTGTACTGTAAAATGCTTATAACAAGTTGGTCCATGATACTGCAGAATCATCATGTTTTTGGCTTATAGAATTCAAGAAAGTGAAAGCAATTATCAAGAAATTTGTTTCTTATTCATAGTAAACTACATTGTATACTTATATTAATGAAATTAATCCCCCAACCCCAAATTACAAATAGAAAGACATACAATCTGTACGGTAAAAATGCAAGCATATAATTATAACATATGTTACTCGAACTAAGGTGCCAGTGTCCCACACGGCTATGTATCTGACACAAGCACGACTGAATTTTTCTAAATGTTCTTATTGACCAAGTGTGAGACGTGTGTGTGAGTGAGATATGAGTAGTACTTCATGAAAAATAAATGTGTGATAAAAAGTTACATATAGATATAGTAGGGGGACAATGGGAGAATTATGCCATTTCATTAGTGACCGCCTCCAGGACTTGGGTGAGACTGTAATATTCTATCGATTTCGGCTAGATGAAAAGCGAATAGCCTTTCATTACTACCCATTGCATGCCCTTTATCATCATCATCACTATCTGGAAGCATTTTTTTAGGCTCCTTGGAAAGCTTGATTCCTGCAAAATTGACCTTAAATGAAGGTGCTTGTACCATCTCAATGTTTAACAGCTTTCTAGCTTCAAAACATGTTGGATGGAAGATCAAAGCGACAATAAGGATAAGAAAAACAAGGCTAAAACGAGCCATTTTAGTATATATTCTCTCTGCTAGTTACTGGGGAAGTGAGGCCTTGTATGACAAATTGCTTGTATTCTGCGGTATATATATATAAAAATCGAAGGATATTTTGGTAATTTCCTGCATGGATTCTTGTGTGAGATTAATGGAAATTGGGTTAGGTACAAATTAACTATGCCGCTGGCCAGTTTGCATGTGTTTTAAGTAACTTTATGCAATGGCCATACACTTATCACCACAAATAACTGGTGTCCTTACAGAATACTTCCCCTCTGACCAATCTCTTTGACACTTTAGAAATCAAGCATTTAAGGGTCAAACACCATTTCCTTCTACTTTTTTTCCTGGTGCTAATAGTTGAAGTTTGTTATTTTTCCCACTTTACTTATACCAAAACAAAGCTTTTACTTCCGCAGTTCAATGATCTACTGGACTACAGAAGAAAACCTAACATTTTCTATACTATTCAGTGTAGCGACAGTGTTTTAGCCAATTAAGTTGCATATAAAACTGTTACATTGAAGAAAAACAGAACCATGTACATTCTCAAGTCAAAGAATAGGCTTTGAGATTCTAGTAAGGTAATATACGGGGAAAATGATGCTTTGATCCGGCTGCTATAAGTCTTGAGAAAGTGAGAACTTTTTTAATGCAATATATTCATGAAGTAGAAAAACATCAATTATTGTTCTTAAAGTGGTCGGTACTGTGCTGACTTCGGCGCACGTTTATTTGCCAAAAAGGTTTGATGTGCTAAAGTTTATGGTTTGCTGAAGTAGGCTAATTACATGCATGAACTGTCGGTGTGGAATTTGGTTGGCTACATTATCAACAAGACATTGCAGGAAAGAGAGACGTGAGGGTCACTTTTAACTGGCTGAGATGGTATGCATATTTGAAAAACCCTGACAAGTGTAAACAATGCAGGGAAGCTTCGTTGAAAATCAAGTCAGGTAATTCTCCACTGATCAGCTACCTTTTCGTTTCTGCTAATTCTCTTCTGTAACTCCAATTGTCAGGAAACGATTAAGGGCCTGTTGAATGCTTGGGGTTTGCAGGTGATACAAGGAGTTTTTTACAATGTGCTGCAAGTAACGTGTTGGCTAAGTCAACTGTTACATGTTTGGAACGAAATAAGGGATTCATGGTACACAGCCGGCTTGATTTTCATGACTTGATGCGATGTCCAGGGATCTGTGATTACAAACAATTAACTGATAAAAGTTATTAATTAAATTCTGTGGCATCCAGCGATGGACCGAGGGGGCAGTCGGAGCCATTGATAATCTGTTTTCGTCCCTCTAAAATTTTATAAGTTCATCCATAACATAAAATCATATGTCCATTCATGCTTACATCCATGGTTTAGCCAAGCTGTGTACGAAGGTGAAAGACCATTTTTACACATTGTTCATTCCTTGAAGTCACATAATCAATATATTTGGCATAATGTTAATTACTATACCTGCAGGCTAAGGCATAATGTTAATAAATATATCTGCAGGCTAAGGTTTAATTTAGGAATTTGACCCAAAAAAAAGTGAACTCATGAACTAATTATTATTGGCTGGCGATCTATTTGTTCAAATTGGTGTAGGTTTTCTAAATTAAAGAATAAAAGTCAAGCAGCATAAACTATCCCTTAAAACGTATTCGCCAGCTTGGAGGGCCATTAATCAATTTGCCTCTTAATTGAATAAGAATATATATTTAGTCAACCATTTTTTTCAATTAAAAAAATTGAGTTGTGATCATGAAGTTGGTAGGTTAGGACCTCACATTAATCATTTGGACTCACGGATGGATCGATGATGCTTTATAATTTCACACGGTTAAAATTCTAATATAACTTTCTAAATTCATACTCTTTGACATAAAATAATACGTTCATCTTTGCTTGGACCAAAAGAAAATAATTTAAGCAGTAGAGGGTCCTAAATATAACTAGGAAACTATATAATTATTATAATATTTGATTAGAATAAATGTCAAAATTATATACTCAAATGTGTAATTTTATATGAACTGCTTCAACACTGAATCTCAGCTGAAATTAAAATTACAGATTTTTCAAATATTGCAGGTAACAACACAAGAGCAAGACGAACATACATATAATACTGAATTATATAAACATTTTCAGCCTCTAATGTATACAAAACAATGAATTCAAGGGCCACAGTTAAGTGGCAATTGAGTCTAGCTAGTGGCCACCTCCAGGACTCGGTACCGACTGCAAAATTCGATCTATTTTGGCAAGATGAAGCGCAAAAAGCCTTTCGTTATAAGACATTACGCGATCGTTATCAGCCGGAAGCGTGCCGGGAACATCACTTGGAACCGAATTATCCTTCGGGAAAATGACCGCTGCCTCCGTCTCGGCATCGAAAAGCTTCCCAGATTGCATCGACGGTACATGATGGATCAAAGCAAAGACAATTACAAGCAAAGCAAGGCTAAAACGAGCCATTGTAGGAACCCCAAGTAGCTTATATTGTTTGGTTTTGAATACTTTCTTTAGATGATTGTGTATCGATCTCGAGATACATACATATATATATAAATGAGTTTAGAGATGGATTGCTTCACGTCACGCGCCATTTAGGCTAAGCCATCATATTTGGAACAAGTAATTAAAATTTAGGCTGGTTTGAAAAGATTTTCAGTAAGATACCATGGAATCTGGGGTTGGTACAAATCAACTGCAACATTTTGGCCGGCTTTGTTTTACAATTCCTTTGTAATTTCCAAATCTTTCGTTTACTTGTTTTGATAAATCTTTCAGCTTTAAGCTATCTAAGAAGATAACGTCAAAACTTCTCTGTTTCTCGATGATTCAATCATCAAATAAAGCAAGTAAATGCCAAGTGTTTGGCTGTCATAATTACATTTCATATAAGCTTTAAGCTGAAACACCTAATGTTTTTTATTTTATTTTGGTAATTAGACACCAATCATTGAGTTAAACAAAACCCAAAGATCTACATTTTTCCTATTCACTAATTTGTGCAATTAATTTAGTCTTTCTTCCTTTCAAACAATAAAACATGTTCTTTTTTTGGTAAAATTTGTTTTTAACACACTATTGATGGATAGTCAAAAACTGCAATTTTCTAACAGCCTCCTCCATGACAAGATCTTGGATTGTCATAAAAGTATTGTTCGAGCTTATACATGGTCTACACGTGGGTACAACTTAAGATGTCTTGTACAGGTTAGAACATATACTACTACTTGTAAGTACCTTAGATTAATAATAAAAAAAAGAAAGATGCCTTGTACAGACACAAGACATGCATCAATCCGGTACAAAAAAGAACTCATGTCAACCTTTGTCGAACCCGTTTGGTGTTCTTTAAAAACTTAGTTTTGATCTTCTCTAGCTTCGTAACAATCTCTTTCGTGTTAAGCCTCTCATCTGGTGATTCTGCTGAACATTCTAAGGCAACTTGCAAGATTGATAAGGTACAGTTGTTGGCTGCTGAGTGTTCCCTACCATTAGTGCTAAGTAAATTCATGTCTACTACTTGATTTAGCAGAGTTGATGATATCGACTCTTTTACCCAACTCTTCAAGCTTCTTTCTCCGGTAAACATTTCATCGGTGGGCTTTTTTCTCGTGACAGTTTCCATTAAAAGAATACCGAAACTATACACGTCTCCTTTTGTCGAAACAATTCCATCTATTCCATACTCTGTATGAATTTATAAGAACATCATCATTATTGAATGATCGAACAAATGCAATAAAATGTCTAAATTGTTATATGCATCATAAAGGGAAATAATGTCACCTGGTGCCATATACCCAACCGTTGCCATCGTAATGGTTTGAATCATCGAGTCCTCGTTGCATAAGAGTTTCGCAATGCCGACATCACTCAAATGTGCAACCATATCTTCATCTAACAGAACATTGCAGGGTTTCAAATCGCAGTGAACAATGGGTGTTTCATTACCATGATGGAGATACTCCAGAGCAGATGCAACGTCTATCATTATGTTTAACCTTTGTACGATATCCAAAAAATGGTTGTTGGAATACAACCATTTATCAAGACTCCCATTAGGCATGAACTCAAGCACTAAGGCTTTGAAATCGAGATCATTAGAGCAGCTACTAATGATTTTGATTAAATTTCGGTGACGAGTATTGCGGAGAACTTCGCATTCGACGTCGAAGCTCTTAAAAGCTCCTTCTAACTCTAAATTGAAGACTTTTACTGCAACTGTAATCCCATCTGAGAGAGTCCCGTGGTATACAGAACCATAACTTCCATTACCAAGTAATTTGCTTCGACTGAATCCATCAGTAGCTCGATGAAGCTCGTGGTATGAAATTCGTTTTCAGGTTCCTAAAGGTAACAAGTCTTTACGAGTCAGCAATTTGTCTTTCCTCTTCATACTTCGCAAGATAATGATAATTAGAGCCACCACCAACAGTGTAGAAGCAATTGGCAATGCTACATATAGTATGAGCTTAGTTTTTGCCTTGGAATTCCTAAGGGATTTAGTTTTGCAGCTCCGAATATGAAGTCGAGGTGCACCACACAATTCTTCGTTCCCCTTAAACGATTCGGTCGAATAATTTCCAAATGATCCTCCCTCGGGAATTTTACCTTCAAGCCTATTGAAAGAGACATTGAAATATTTGAGATAACGGAGTTTCTCCAGGGACTTGGGAATCTCTCCAGACAGATTATTTCTTGACAAGTCCAAGAACTCCAAACTCAACAGCTCACCAAATGACTCGGGAATCAGACCGGTGATTCGATTATTCGATAAGGAAAAATGAGTGAGATCCTTGAGATTTACAACTCCAGCTGGGATAGCACTGTCGAACCGATTGTTCGAATGATGTTGAATCCGGTCACTTTGTTCGATATGACGACTCTCTCTCTGTTGAGGAAAGATGGTCATCCTTCTAATTATTTTGGGAAGGAAGCGATTGTAGCCATTGGTGTATTGCTGGTGTCCTTGATTCTTGAAACGAAATTCTCTACGCATTGGTATAATATTTTAAAGTTTAAGGATTAAGTTAGAATGAGGTTATAGTTTAGAGATTATATAGAATATGTTGAAGTTTAGGGATCAATTTAAAATCGGTCATTGTTTGAAGATATCTCATGTAATTATACCCTTTATATTTTGTTCAAATTGCTTATGGATTTGACGGTAAATATGAAAGATAAAGTCAACTCCGACTAATAGTCAGTATGAAGTATTAATGTCTAAGATTTCATCTGAACATAATGTGGGAAGCAATTAATAATGAGATTTATCTTTCTTTTATTAATTAATTTTTTAAAAATTAAACCATAATCATAAATTAAGTATTATCTTATGAATTTAAACGCTAAACATAATACGAAAATTTAAAATTTTCTTTAATACACATTGTTATTTAATGTTTAATTATTTATATAATACGTACTACATAATCAATAACTCTCTTACAAATAAGTCTCATGCAATATATCATAAAATTACATATTAAATTATAACAGTTTTATTAAAGTTTTCATGTGACACAATAATATACGATCGTATAGATTAAGCAGATAACCGATGCACAAAACAAGAACCTATAAGATAGAAAGACACTAATGAACACATAATTTTATATTAGGGGCGAACATGAACTTATAAAATTTTAAGAGATGAACTTAAACTTATAGAAACTTAAGGGTGCGAAAACAAATTTCCAATCTAAAATATAAGTGATTTTAAAATTTTAAGGGGACGATTGTTCGCACATGTCCTCTCAATCCATCCCGTAACAAGATCTTCAACCAATAGGGAAATGTATCAATGTGATAGAGTCACATAGAGTTAGATTATTCAAAATAATTAAATTTGAATATAGTCAGATCGAACATGTTGATAATTATTAAAATTATTACTTTTTATGTAGTGGGTTTGGATATTATTAAAGATAATAAGATTTAAATATAATTCACCCTATATGACACTTATTTCTAACTATTTCTCGATCTAACACTTTTTTTTCGGGAGGCGATGTGTACGGAATGCGCCTTTGGTGGGAGAGAGAAGGCGCATACATGAAACATGCCTCTCACCTAAGGCGCGTCCTATGACACGTGCCTCCTTTGATAGTTGGTTTTAGGTTTAGAGTTTTAATTTAAGACAATTTTAGGGTTTTTATTAGTGGTTTAGGTCATTTTCATAGTGGTTTAGGTCATTTTCATTGTGGTTTAGGATTTTTAAAGAAGTTTAAAATTAGTTGTATGTTAGGATGTTTGTGTTTTTAGTTATATTTTAGATTGTAATAAATAAACATTAAAAATTTAATTGAAAAAATACATAAATATAAGAAATAAAAAAATGAAATCACATTAATCGAAACTAAAAAGAAATAGAATAACATAAGTTGAAACATAAGATGGTATGATTACATGAGTGGTGGTCAACGATTACGTGATGATAAAAGAGATGGACAGTTTTTCCTATTGTGACTGGGGTTTCTGCAATGTCCACATTTTAAGTTTTGTCTTGACGTCTCTTGAATATCCATCTCACAATGAATTCGAGTGGATTTTGGATGACCTAACTCCCTTAATAAATCCAGATTTGGTATAAGCCAAGTAGGAACCTCATTTGGGTCTTTGTCATTACCTATCGGGGGAAACTCATATTCATATACTTTGAATACTTCATAAAGTTGGTATATGGAATCCCCATAATGCTTATAGTCTTAATGAGAAAATGAGCAAGCTGCTATGACATGGGAGCATAAATACTTCAAAGCTTGGAAACCCACAATCACAACATCTTTCCCATAGAATAACTCTGAAAGAGTTAGATTCAATCCCTTGAAGGGGTTGTGAAATTTCTGTGACCCAAAATAATTCTTGGGTGCGAGAAAAGTTTATTACGGACATGTTGTTTGATGTTGCAACCTTTTGCAGCAGATCTGCTACTAATTGTGGGTGATGAACATGATCATTTTGTATTTAAGTAAGAGTTTGTACCTCGAGCTCTCTTACTTGGGAAAAAGTTGAACTAAACGGAAATACGTTATTTTAGTCTAAATAACGAACCCCTTTTAAGGTTTAATTGATTGTCATATGTCCATATCGATATCCACCATCATATGTGTTTGTCCACTTTTCTTTGTTGATTTCATTGATGTAATTGTATCAATGTTTATTTTTCCCTCGTAATTCTTGAAGCATATGATCAAAAATTTGAGGTGAGAGTTCATAACCTAAGCAAAGAAGTAGTTAGTATAAAAAATGAAAATGAGTTCGTTCATACAAAATCCCAAAAACCTGATAGTTAAAATCTTTGGACAACCGCGGGAGGTCTATCAAAGCGATGAGTTCGTTCATCACAGAGAAGAAAATCAAGCACCGCCATTACTGTCAAATTTAGAGCATCTGAGTCTAATATCTTTTCCAGAATTGAGATGGATAGTAAAAAGCCTCGCCCATCCTGCTAGCTTCCAAAGACTAATGCTTTTATGTATAGAGAATTGAAACAGAATGGAATCTCTCTTCTCACTTTCCTCCATTCAAACCATATGGTCACTGCAAGAACTCCACATGGTTGATTGTAATGATTTGGAAAGTGTTTTCATGGAGTTGGAAAGTAGTGGTGACGATCAAATCAGTCCAGCAGCACACTTTGCTTGCAAAACTTGAAAACTGTGGAGATAAAACAATGTCAAAGTCTAGAATATGTCTTCCCACTTGCTTTGGCTGGAGGTCTTCCTTGCCTGCAACAGATATGTCTTGATGATTTAGAAAAACTAAGCGGCTTTGTTACCAACACCGCCATTCAAGAAGAGAGCGTCCCATTGAATGTAATCTTTCTCTCACTCATCTTTCTTACCTATTATTCTAAAAGCAAACAGTAATAGTATCTCTTCCTTTTACACAGGAGTTGCAAAGTAGTGATGATGAACAAATAGAATCAAACACACTTTTCTTGCCAAGCTTGCAAATTCTGGACATACGTAGATGCCCCGGGTGGAATACTTTTTCCAACTTCCTTTGGCTGGAGGCCTTCCTTGCCTACAGAAGGTACTTCTTACCGGTTTAGAAAACCTATGTGGTCTTGTTGCAGGAAATAATTTCGTCGTAGCACCAGCTTTGGAAATTTTGGATGTCGGCGGATGTCCTCGAATTACGAATCTCGCTATTCAAAAGGAAATCCTCAAGTGTGTCTCAATGAAGGTGATCTTTCTTTTACTCATTCCCCTTTGCTCTGATTTTGTTTCAAGTACTTGTTTGATCATTCAAGTGTGTTCTCTTACTTCTACACAGGAGATAGTTTTGTCTAATCCAGAATTTATTATCGACCCCGAGTCGTGCAACATGATGAGCGTCCCATTGGGACAAAGACCACCAAGTTCTGAATATATAAATCCGCTAAACTTTGAGCAAATGTTTCAGCTTCAAGGTGGATATTCCATCTCAAATCTGGAGATACTGACAATCTCTAATATGATTTGGCTACGAGATATATGGAAGGGTCCCGTCCAATTTGCAACCAATCTCAGAAGCTTAACCATCTTCTTCTGCCATAGCTTGAAATACATCTTTCCAATGATGCTCATCCGAAATTTACCACAATTGAACTATCTACAAATAGCAAATTGTGAGAAGTTGGAGCAGATAGTCGCCAGCGATTCGCCAGTGATGACATTTTAGCATCATCGTCGTCGTCACAAGGTCGACCATTCGAGAAGATAATAGAATTCCCCAGATTAGTGGAAATACAACTTCAAGAATTTGCCAAGTCTCGTGAGCTTCAGCCCTTTGGGCTACCATCTGGTATTCCCAAGTTTGAAATCCTTATAGGTTGAGAATTGTTACAAGATGATCCCAAGTTTCATGGTTCCTACTTGTGTTTCATCTTTAAACTTTTTTGCTTCATCGAATTTGAATAAATTTCCTGTTATTTTGTGAAGGCACCCCCACTGCATTATAATATATTCTGGAAAGCCGTAGACCTTTTTCACTTCCTCCATATGTGGAAGAAGCCGAAGGAATTTCTACATTGAGCTGAAAAATATTGCAAAAGCATGCTTGAGCTTTTCAATAACCGGACCAGTAAATATAGCATCATCATCTGTGGATCGATCAAGCTATTTGTTCTATGGAGTTGCACACTCAGCTGAGGTTTCTATTCTTCAGTGTTATTGAACTTGTTGCCAAGGATTTTTAATTTGTGTTCTATTAATTGTTCTCAGGACTTAAATTGTACAACATAATGTTAGACAATCTAGATGGTTGATTCGTGTAGCTTTCAGGTGCTGTATTCGGTTGACTTTGATTGCGATGAATACATGAGTAAGATGAGGTGGATTTGCAACTTTGCAA